GGTTTGGCTCAGTGGGAGAGAGTCAGCCTGTGGACAGAACAGTCCAGGCTTGATTCTGCTCAAGGGCAGGTACCTTGGTTTCAGGCTCAGTCCCTGGCCCTGATTGGGGCTCATGTGGGAGGCAAACAATCAATGTGTTTCTCTCAGATGGATGTTTCTCTCTCTGTCTCTCCCACTCCGTCCACACTTTCTAAAAATATCAAATGGGGGCGGGGAGGTGTGGGGAAGCTGTGGTGCATTTACATGACGGAGAACTACTCATCATGATTAAGAAGGAACAGTATGGATGATCCTGGAGAGCATTATGCTAAGTGAAATAAGCCAGTCAGAGGAGGACCAATACCATATGCTTTTACTTATATGTGGAATCTAATGAACAAAATAAACTAAGAAATAAGACAGAAACCGACTCATAGATAAAGAGAACAGATTGACAGCTCTTAGAGGGGAAGGGTTTGGGGGGCTGGGTGCAAAAGATGAAGGGATTGAGCAAAAAAACAAAACAAAACAAAACACCTTGCAGACACAGACAACTCTATGGTAGTTAGTAGAGGCAAAGGGGAATGGGGGAAGGTAAGAGAAAAGTGGGGATAAATGGTGATGGAAGGAGACTTACTTTGGAGTGGTAAACACAGTACAATATGCATATGATACATAATAGAATTGTACATTGCAACTTATAAATTTTTGTTAACCAACGTCACCCCAACAAATTCAATAAAAATTAATAATAAATAAATAAATAAATAAATAAATAAATACATTTGGTAATGAAATTGAGCAATCAATTTCTGAAAATTTATATTTGTCCTAAACTTCTGGTTTTATTAAGGAGCTTAAGTAGTGGGTGAAATGTAGGCAGCGATATCAGTGGCATGGTGCTCTTTCATGCATGCTATCATGGATATTGAGGAATTATCAGCACAGCACATACATGAGAACAGCTTTATTGGTTGTGTGAAAAAAAAAATGACAGGAGTTCGGTTGTAAAAATACTGTTTTCCTATGTGAGACTTCAACAATATTTATTAGTTTTATTTTCTTAAATTGAGTAGTATTTTGATTCTTATGGAATACCTTCAAATATGCTAACTTTTGTTAATGAAGATCACGATACTGATGTTCTATACAAAGATGTGTGAAACTAGAGGTTTCATAGTACTGCATCATAAGTAGGTGGCAAGGTTTGTCAACTCTGGCACTAGTGAAATTTGAGCCACACAATTCTTTCCTGGGAGTGAGGGAAGTTTTGCTGTGCATTAAGGGATGCTTAAGGGCATACCTGGCTTCTTCCCATGAGATGTCAGTGGCAAAATACTCCTTGACCCTTCAGTTTTAAAAATATATTATTAATGCCTCGCTCATATACAATATTATGTTAGTTTTAGATGTAAGCATAGTTTCATTATGTATCTTAAAAAGATACCACCACCCCATCCTCCAGTTTTGAAAATCAAAGGCGTCTCCAGCCATTACCAGAGGTCCATGTTGAGAACGACTGCTATGTGCTCATACGGACATGCCCTCCAGATCTGCCCACAGACCAAGTGATTCATTCATGAGAAAAACGGCTATTAGCAGTTCCAAGCTTAAGCTAGGTTTCTAAGTAAATAATACAGTTCTGTGAATTTAGTGTTTTGGGGATAAGACTGGGTGCTAACTATTCAGTCTGAATACCTTACTGAGATGTGGGAAAGGGGTGATCAGAGATGGCTTCCAGGAGAAGGTGGTTCCTGAAATGTGTTTTACAGGACAAATGAAGATTTAGCAATTCAGAAAAGGATAGAGACATTTGAGAGAGCGAAAGCAGCATGTGCAAAACTTGGATGTATAAGAAAGCCCCTCCCCCACCCCATGTATATTGATATAGAGATTGGTATGATCATCTATAGATAAACAGTATGGTCATATATTGTTATATGTCATAGTTTTAGTTATTTTCCTTGAGGCATCATATCCCATTCGCTCTATATTTTCATGGACAAAATTATAATATAAAATTCTGCAAGTAATCGTTTAAAACATCTAATTCTCCCTCCAATTTCAAATTTAGTAATGGTATGCATTGTGAATTTTATGAAATCATCTATTTCCAAGAGGAAAGCAAATTTAGACAGTGGTGGAAGTGACCTACACATATTTCCTATAAACCTTCTAATCTTATCTGAAGAAAACCTTTTGACAAGATCAGCATATGAAAGATAATATACATCCCTATTGTGGTTATTTTTATGCATTTAATAATGTATTTCAATATTGCAGATTATCAGTAAATTGTATTAATAGTGAAGCTAATGTTTTTAGTTAATTCATTTTATTTCACACACATATATTTTAGTCCAAAAAACAGTAAAAATAGTAATTTAGATTAAAGTTCATTTAAGTGAAGGTAACTAAGGATAATATATATATATATATATATCTGGAATTCTGTTGGCAAAAATGAATATTTCAAGACCCACATGTTATTGAGTGGTCTACTAGGAATGCTGTGTTTCTCATGGAGACTGGTTATGAATTCCTAGAATCCCTATGCACACAGTTTGCCACCATTATATAAATTCACTTGACTGCCAGCATAGTAAAAGGCCTTTAGTTTGCTGAATTGCTCAACTTTATCTAGTCTACACAGATATTCTGCTGCTCAGTATCAAAGGTGAACTAAAGGAATGATAAAGATGAATAAATATAATGGTTTAGCTTCTGCACTACCCTGGTATTTAGTTATGTCTAGACACAACCCTAAGTGTCCTAGAAAAGCCCAAATGAGAACAAGGACATTTAAGGTTAACCTAGCTTTATTCCCATGGAAATCAGAAAAGCCAACAACAGAATAAAAAGAAGAGTATGGATCTAACTGAAAAATTAGATTTAGTGGAGTGACTGGAGGATTTGCAAGGTTACTGGGAGGTGGAACAAATTTTTTTGTTTGTTTGTTTTAAACAGTTTTAAATTATGTCAATTTCAGTTAGATAAATCTCTTCTAAAAATAATTTTACAAATTATTTTATTATTCTCTAAAGCCAAGTTGATGGAAGTAGACTAAAGATGATACAACCATTCTATAAGTATGAACTTTTATAGTTAAAGAACTCAGAACTTGAAGAAAATAGGCAAGTATAGTGAACATATACACACACATATATAATATATATATATATGTTTGTGTGTATTGAATATATTTCTATTTTATAAAAATTAAAAATTTTGATTTATATTTATATTACTAATATTATAAAGTGTTAGCTTAATGTATAAATATGTTTGATTTTATAAAATGATTGAAAATAAGAGTTAAATACACCCTTTTTATATAGTGTGTAGAAAATTTCTATTTAAATTATGATTTTCACTTCCTTGGTTATAATAATTCTGTTTTATATTCTCTTATAGAAATATTATAACAGCCTATTAACTATTATTCTTTTAGTATTCAGGCTTTACTCTTGCACATAGAATCATTTTTTAAATATATTTTTATTGCTTTCAGAGAAGAAGGGAGAGGAAGAGGGAGAGAGGAACATCCATGATGAGAGAGTATCATTGATCAGCTGCTCCTGCAGGCCCCGCACTGGGGATTAAGCCCACAACTTGCATGTGCTCTGACTGAGAATTGAGCCATGACCTCCTGGTTCATAGGTCAATGCTCAACCACTAAGCCACTTTGGTTGGGCAGAATCATTTTTTTTTCTTTTTTTAATTACTGGCATTTTAAGATATTTGCTCTTGATTTTAGTTTAAGTAAGCTCCATACCTCCAACTGGGATAACATAGTTGTTTTTCTTTTGGATCCACATGTCAGGCTCCTTTAAAGTGCTTCAGTTGCACTGAAACCGGTTTGGCTCAGTGGATAGAGCATTGGTCTGAGGACTGAAAGGTCCCAGGTTTGATTCTGGTTAAGGACATGTACATTGGTTGTGGGTACATCCCCAGTAGGGGGGTAAGCAGGAGGCAGCTGGTCGATGTTTCTAGCTCTCTATCCCTCTCCCTTCCTCTCTGTAAAAAGATCAATAAAATATATTTAAAAAAAATAAAGTGCTTCAGCTACATAGAGGGGCTCATTTGGATTGGGCATAATAGGCTGGAAACCTAATGATCTGTGACCCAGGTCAAAAGCATTTTGACAACACAGTACTCTTTTAGCTAGTATAACTTGGGGGTGGGGGGGGGCAGCAGATGAACCTGCTGAAATATAGACATAGTGAGTGTGTGGGATGTAGATGCACATTGGTATAAATACTGTGGGTTTCCTTTTGCAATGATGACATTCAGACTTCCACCTGAGGCCCCAATATGTTAAGATATCTAGCCATGATTGATGTCTGTCTTTCAAAAAATATAGCTGATAGGTCTGTAGGAAGCACACTGAAGGTTGTGGTCATATATACGTAGAAGATGGCTTGGCAATGCAGTGGCCTCATAACTATAACAACAACCCTGAGAGCTGCTACAGTTTCCTTGGCTTGGTTAAGGGTATTTAGATTTATTTCTTAATTAAATTTGCAATTTGGATTACAGATTTCAGTTAATATCACAAAAATGTTACAAGCTTGGGGATAGTTTATTGCTGTGTAATGTAAATTATTTGTTAATTGCTTCGTAACAGCTTTCTGGAAGAAAATACAATACGTTCAGCTACAATTTTATGGCTGCTGCTTAATCCCAGGGCCTAGAGCTTGAAAAATCACTGCATGGTTTTTACTGTTTTCTGTGGATTTTCCATATTTTCTCTTTCTTAATTTAATTCTTCTTTATAGTTGTTTGACAAAAAAAAAAACCACTTAGGGTAATGACTTGTTTATATAATTTTGCTCTAAATGTTAATTCAAAATAACTTGTTTTCTTGCATTGAAATGCTTTCTTTAAATTATAACTCTTGCATTTATCATAATGAATATTTAATCTAATTTCAGATAGTAGCAATATGCACTTTTAATAATACTGACAATAGTGATGCATTTTTGTGCACTTGACTCAGTTTTGTGTTCTTTTTCTTTCAGTGAATTTATTGGATTCACGTACTGTCATGGGGGACCTGGGATGGATTGCTTTTCCAAAAAATGGGGTAAGCCTTTATGAAATTTTCCTACAACTTAAGTAGACATCATATTAAATGTCACATATGATTGAAAATCCACTGGCCATGTTTGTTGTTATGAGAGGAGGGATGTGTGGGTGAAAATGGGCCAAATCAGCTCTGTCATGAAAAGTAGGCAAATAGGGAAGGGATTTTAATTACTAAATAACAAATATGTGATTTTCCTCTCTAAGTATTTCCATGAAGAAATGTGAAGTTATCTTGAAAATTCAGATTAAAGCAACCAACAAACTTATAGAATTGATTTATCTTCAAAAACACAAGAATTGAAAAAAATAAAAAGGTTTGCTGCTGATTTATCCTTAGCCTGTTTGAATAAGAAATATTGAATATTGAATAGGAAATTAAATCAATTCAAACACTGAGAACAATTTATTTTGTGTCTCTTCACTACATTAAGGAATGAAAATATTATAAAGGACTCCTTTAAATTTTAATGAGATTAAAAAATTCTGATTATTAGAAACTATCAGGGAGCACCTGGGATGAATTGCTTTTATTAAGTCAGTAATCATTAAAAGGTTTTCTTTTAATTTTTACATTATTCTTTATTGAAAAATTTCAGAAAAAAAGTGTTTCATTGGAACATTTCTACAATAACAGTTGTATTTGTTAGTAAATTATTTTACTGGTGTAAACTAAAAATAAAGTCTTTGGCTGTGATCTGGTGGCTAGGTTGGTTGGAGTGTTGTCCCATACACCAAAGAGTTATGGGTTCTATTCTCCTTCAGGGCACATACCGAAGATGTGGGGTCAAACCCTGTCATGGTACCTATGATAGGGAGGCAACCAATCAATGCTTTGCTTGTATGTTGATGTTTCCCTCTCTTTCCCTTCCTCTCTTAAAAACAAGACAACAAAATAAATATAGAAAAAAAAAGAAACATCCTTGGTTGAGGATTTTAAAAAAAGTCTTTTGGGTGAAAATTAAACAATTTTCTAACCATGTGCATATTAATGTATTTATGATACTAATGATCTTAATAAATATATTACATTTAAAAAGTATTTAATAGCTATTACAAGATGGGAAATGAAGTCATAAGTAAAACATTGTGACATAAAATCATTATATTACACAAGAAGTATTAACTCAATTATAATAGAAAGATAAAACATGTCATTAAAATGATTGGAAAAGCAAATTTCTAATACAAAGAGATTGTATATTTTTAAGGAAATCAATGGTGCAGAAATCACATACAAAACTCAGTAAATTTCTCCCAAAATTTCTAGGTGCAAAAGGCAAAACAACATCAGGTTTACTCCTAAAGTTAAACCTTTTCTGAATAACTCTGGAATGGAAATAGGAGAAATACAAAACTAGGTTCAAAGAGAATATTTTCTCAGACTTCTCAAAATTTAATTTCAATCCAACATATTATCCATATTATCAGATAGGGCAATTTAGAATATTTTTTTGGTAGGATAACTTATTTTGTTTTATTTATGAAATGAAGTAGAAAATGTGAGTTATAGTTTTGCATAAAGATTAAATAAGGGTGATTGAAAATAGAGGTTTGCACAGTGTTGGTATTCAGTAAACATGCTTTCTTTGGTCTTTATTTGGGAGTTAGCATGTTTTTGTTGAATTTATTGAAGTTACATTGGTAAATAAGGTTATACAGGTGTAAATTGTACAATTCTACAATCCATCATCTGTATACTGTATTGTGCACTCATTACCCCAGGTCATGTTTCTTTCATCACATTTATCCCCCACTTACCCTCTCCTGAATCCCCCCACCTCCATTTCCCTGTGGTAATGATCATACTGTTGTATGCTGATGGTCATTTCCATAGGGAAATGGGGGTGAGGTTAGGAGGGTTTTTGTTTTGTTTTTCTTTTCTTTTTAAAAAATATTTCTTTGATTTTTTTAGAGAGAGGAAGAGAGAGGGATAGAGAGAAACATCAATGAGAGAGAATCATCGATCAGCTGCCTCTTGCACACTCCCCACTGGGGATGTGCCGGCAACCAAGGTACATGCCCTTGACCTGAATCGAACCTGGGACCTTTCAGTCCACAGGCCAACGCTCTATCCACTGAGCCAAACCGGTTTCGGCTGTTTTGTTTTTCTTAATCCCTTCACCTTTGACCTTCTATTGCATTTCTATCTCACACTGAGATCCACCCACCAGCCCATCAGGTTTTTTGTTTGTTTGTTAGTTTTATCTATAAGTATATTTACATGAATTCATTGTCAGCAGCTAAAGATTGGGAGAGCTCATATAAAGTGGATTTCCAGCTTTTCTGTTTAGTTGGAAGTTTCAGAAAAGGAGAGTTAGCAGCCTGTTATAATCTCCACAGCCCAGAGCTGAGAAAAGGCTGCTTTCTAAGAGAGTAAGCATTTTCTCCTGTTTGATTCAATTTCTGCCTGATGCTCTTCACCCATTTAAGCTACAGTCTGTAATGTTGGCATATTTGTGGAGTCAATTTTTAGTATTTTACATGCATCAGGATTTTCTTTTGTTTTAGAAGGGACTTTTTAAAATTTTCCACTTATTGTTACATAGTGAGATAGATTCTATTTTTTATTTCTATTGTTTTGACTACTTCACCTGAGTTAAGACATTTAAATTTGGGCTTTAGCATGTGCTTTTTAACCATAATAGATGAGATTGTGTGTGTGTGTGTGTGTGTGTGTGTGTGTGTATGTGTGCGTGCACATGCCTGTGTGTGTGCACATGTGTGTGCCTACCTCATGGTAAGAAGTTGAACTCTACTCTTTTTTTTAAAAAAAATTCTGGACATATCTAGAATTATTATGTCACAACAAAGTTTACTTTTATGCAAATTTAGGTTATTTATCCCTTTAACAAATATCTATTAGGCACTTGGTATGAGCCAGTTTCTGTTCCAGGCTCTGGAGTGACAACAGTGAAGAAAACAAACAAAATTTACTGACATTCTGGAATGAAGGCAGCATTATTTTGAAAATGAGTAATCATAATGTTAGAGCAACATGGTAGATAAAGTTATTTGTAGGCCTCTTTTCTCTTTATACTAGAGCAGTGGTTCTCAACCTTTCTAATGCCTCCACCCTTTAATACAGTTCCTCATGTTGTGGTGACACCAACCGTAAAATTATTTTTGTTGCTACTTCATAGCTGTAATTTTGCTACTGTTATGAATCATAATGTAAATATCTATGTTTTCCGATGGTCTTAGGCTCTACAGCAGTGGTTCTCAACCTGTTGGTTGCCACCCATAGATTGAGAACTGCTAGCAGGGTCTCCTAAGACCATTGAAAAACACAGATATTTACATTACGATTCATAACAGTAGCAAAATTACAGTTATGAAGTAGCAACAAAAATAATTTTATGGTTGGTGGTCACCACAACATGAGGAACTGTATTAAAGGCTCTCAACCATTAGAAAGGTTGAGAGCCACTGTACTAGAGGCTAGGATGAAATTCATGCATTCAGGGGGAGAAGGGTCCCTCAGCCCAGCCTGCACCCTCTTGCAGTCAGGGAGCCCTTGTGGGGATGTACGACTGACATTTAGGCTCATTCCCCTGGGTGAGTGGACCTAAGTCATCAGTAGGACATCCTTAAAGCTGCCAAGGAGGTGGGAGAGGCTTCCATCACTGCCATTGGCTCGCCAGCCATGAGCCCAGCTCAGGGCTTCTGGCTGAGTGGCACTTCCCTGTGGGAAAGCACTGACCACCAGGGGCCAGCTTCTGCATTGAGTATCTGCCCCCTGGTAGCCAATACACATCATAGTGACAGGATGTTCTGCTGTTCAGCCGATTTGCATATTAGCCTTTTATTATATAGGATGTACAAAAGTGGCAGAGAGGAGATAGCGTTTATTCAAAGTCACTCAGGTAGTTTGTGACACAATTGGAAAGAGCACATGTACTGTCTTTTATTTGGCACATGGTGTGTCCTATCACTGTTTCTCCTTATCTTGCCATGGAAAACAATGCTCTCTCATGTACAGTAATTCCAATGAGTACTAATCATGACAATCTAAAAAGAGAAATTTCATATTGTTTTTGTAGAAGAGGAAAAGGAGGCGCTATAAGGGTGACTTGCCCAAGGTTGTGCAGATAGTAAGAGGCTGAGTCCATTTCAAACCCAGGACTTGCAGGATGCAGGTTATTTTAAACCAGAAGAGAGCTCCTCTGAATGGATAGGTCTCCAGAGATATGACTAGATTCTGGAATGTTCCCAGATTTCTGGTTTACATAAAAGAGAAATTGGTGTAGAAGAGAAATTCACCCCCAAAAAAGTTTTCAAAGGGCCAGAATGGGTCTCATTCTATTCATTGCTCGATCATTAATATTTGAAAGAAATATATAGCACATACATGCTCCAATATATGTTACAATTCTTATAGTGCATGTATATATTAACTAACTATACAATTAGGTAAATGATTGACAAATAAATAATTACATGGATGAACCAACACTGTGCTATATCTAATTTTTGTGAACTCTATGCATCTCAGCTTTCCTATCTGTTAAGTGAGATGGATCGCTATTATATCATCTATCCAGTATTGTTGTTTTTAGGATAAAATAAGAAGATGAATTTGAATGCACCATGTGATTCTTACACCACTAAAGACATAAGAAAGGATGATGATTGATAAAAAAACAAAAATAGCTGCTTCTATATTTCTGTTCCCAAATATAGCCAGAAACCAACATTTTGGTAGTTAAAAGTAACAATCACTCAGCTATGTCTTCAGCATTTGACTATTACATGAAATAAGTAGACTTTGAGAAGTCTCATACCTGAACTTCCAAATGTGGGACTAGATTCTCTAATCTCACTGCATGAAATTGAGAAGATGATTGTAAATATTTTTTCTTTTTCTATTTTTTGGCATAACTTGACTTTAATTTTAAACAGTAACAAAGACAAGCAAATCATAGACTAATGCCTTGAAAATTGATGTAAAATATGCATGGTTACCCTCAGTTCTTAATTTTCCTATTTATTTGAGTAAAT